ATGCATCATTTGCGTCCCACCAATAGTGATGCAGAGGTAAAGAACAGACTGTAGAGATACTGGTGAATCCCTGCAGTTACTGTTAGAATTTAGCTCTCTTCTTAAACTGCATTTATATCTCAAGTGTAATGTTTCTGGCAAGTAAAACAGTGGCCCTTGTTTTCTTTATGAGCAGTTATACATAATTTATTATGAGTAGAAAATCTAAGGGTTCTTGTTTCTTCAAACAATGAGAATATATTTCTATACTTTATCCAGAAAGAAGATATACTCACAAATAGATCACATGGTTTATTAACCACCACCTTCTATGACATATAGATCTTTTGGTTAAAAAAAGCATTTTACACAAATGTATTTATCCAGTGACAAATTATTTTGTGTAAAATGCTTATTGTGTATTTCCTAGCAGACACTTGTGTCCACATTCTGTTCTTCCTTTGTTTTTACGCATATTAACTTATTAACAATATTCTGCACCCATTTAATACCAATCATGTGGATATGCATGTTACCAAACCTTTATTTCAAATTGTTCTGCTATGTATGTATTACTATTCACTAAAGAGTGAAGCTTAAAAAATAGAAATATAACAAATTTAGATTTAAAAAAAGCCAAGTCTTGACAAAAGCAGAGTGAGGGAATTGTTCCAACTCTGTTACTGGGATAAATTACAACCCACCTACGGTAACGCTGATAATGTAAGAAATGATTATCAATTAAGTATAGACTGTAGGCTTGTTTGAGCAGGGTCGTCTTCAACCTATCGTTCCTGTAGGTTTTCTTGTAATTGTCCTATTTATAGTTAAATCCCCCCCTCTCATAATATTGTAAAGTGCTACGGAATCTGTTGGCGCTATATAAATGGTGATAATAATAATAATAAAGTATGTTGCTGCATAGTAATACCTCTAGGTGCAGTCACTCAGACGGCCACTAGAGGTGCTTCCTAATCCAGTGCAGCACCTACGTTCAGCATCTCCACGCTCTGCATGGAGGCGCTGAACTTTCCCCATGAATGCATTGAGCAATGAGACTGCAGGGGCATGATCTATTCTGTACAGCAAAACTGTTTCATTAAGATAGTCGTTCTAGTGCCTATAGTGTCCTTTTTACCTTTTACGTTAACCCTTCTCTAACCTTACACTCCTCTTTACCCTAACCGCTTCTAACATTGGCCTCAATTTAGTATTTTTTAATAATACTGTTTGTCGACAAATCGTTTGAAAAGTTGCCTTTTTTCTATTTATTTTTTTAGAGGGATGGGGGGGGGGAGGCAGGGAGTGCCTTAGAATTATATAACCAGACATGTAAATCTGTCCCTGATACTGCAATAAAAATACTTTCATCTATACATAGCCCATGTCAAAATGCTGGCCTAAAAAAGGACAGATATGTTCATTATCCATCTGACCTCTCACTATGAAGGTGTAAAGAGTTTGAAGTAAGCGTTAAGCATTGTGAACGCCACTTAGCGCTTTTACTGTGAAAGGTTTATTCTCTAAACTAATTAAAGTAGCTGATCTGTGACTATAGATAAATTAGGGATTTTTTTCCAAATCAGCTTTTGCTGCCACATTTTAAAATTGCAATTTTTAAATTCACTACAATTCACCGTTTACTGGATAAACCTTCCTGTAATATATTCAATCAAATAGTTTTGTTGATGTTTTTGCAAGCTCGGTCTATATTTATATTTTAATGCTGGCAATGAAAAGGACCTTGTCATTCACATATTTTATAAATGACTGGTGTATTTTAAATAAGGTTAACATAATAAAATTATGTCGCCTATCCAGTTTTTCATCACTTTTTCATCACAATTTCTTTATTAGTGAGATTGTTTTCTAAATTATAAATTTGACTTAAAGGCTTAGCAGCAAAGGAACAGGCATGTCAAATGTTTTTACAAAATGTTAATAAAAACTTAATAACCGATTTAAGAATGCAACGACCTGTCTAACATGTTTAGCAGCCTAAATGTGTCAGCAGCCGTTTGCTATTTGTGAGTATTTCTTGTACTTGATGTTGATGCTAAGTAAGAGCACCAAGTTCTTCGATAAATATTTTAGTGTGGTTAAAATAAGACGCCGGGCCTGTTCAGTTACAATAGCATGCCTAGTGACGGAATCGCCGGCCCACACCCCCTCCCAGGTAACTCTGGAATGTAAAGAGGGCGGCCTGCTACCGTAAGGAAGTTACAGGGTGTGTCTGTACAGAAGCAACTGGTAAAGGAAAAAATAAACATGCCCCAAAAGGGTGCAGCCTCCAGTAATCTCAAATAATAATAAAACGTTATAGGTGAAACACATGTGATACATTGCTGATGGGTGCATGAAATCAAATTTTTTTAACAGAAGAGATGGAAACAGGAGATGCAATATTATCATTTTAAAATAAAATTATATTCTTTCATCAATTAATTATATTCAAAACATCAATTCCATTATCTTGGTAAGCTCAGAGGTAGATAACAGATAGGCAGTCATTGGAAAATGTTTGAAACAGAACTAGGTAATGATGCCTTTAATCACTAAAATGTGCTGTAGTAGTTATGGTGCTTAGAGTCCTTTTAATATTAAGCTGTGCCTTGGTTGTTATTTAATTGGACGTTTGTTTGGTCCTTGCAGATATAAACCAATGTGTACTCTGGCACAGTGACAGGGGAACTCTATGCACCATAACTTTTGATGCTGTTTTTGAAAATAAACCTTCAACGGGTGATCTAAGCAACATAACCAATAAGTGCAGTGGAAATGCAGCAAAGAGTATATGGTCACCCTCCTGTTCATGTACTGTTTTATTAAAACGTTTAAGAGCAGTTTGAAGAAAAAAAACAGGACTTTCCTCAGCATCCACAGAGTGCCCTGTCTGAATTTACACTTCTGCATTATCAATATCAATGAGCGTATTGTTAGACACGCTGTCTCCATGCAAACATCATCCCATGCAAAAGCAAGAGCATGGTTCTGTGCACTTGGCCAACCCTGAGTGAGTCTGGCCAGCTGCAATTCAACATGGTAGCGTGCATCATTTTTGCTCCCCTCCCAGAATATATATACACCCCAATTTTGGGGGACCTATACCTCTATACAGGAGCGTACCTAGAGCATTTGGCACCCGGGGTGGATCCTGTGCTTGGCACCCCCCAAAAAAAAATGTTAAAGGTTTTCTTTCTTTTCTTTTTTTTTACAATTTGTAAACTTTGCAAAACCGCTGTCAGCCCCTCCTACAAAACCCTTGTCCTGCCCCGCCCCTCCTACAAAACCTCTGTCCTGCCCCTTCTACAAATCCTGTACTGCCCCGTCTACAAACCCCCCGCAACCCCCTTCCACAAATCCCCTGCTTATCCCCCCTTATAAAGACTCTTGTCCCAATACAAAAACCCCGCCCCCTTCTACAAAATCCCTGCAGCCCCACACACACATTTACAGGCAGACAGTCACACACTCAGTTACAGGCAGACAGTCACACACTCAGTTACAGACAGACAGTTACACACTCAGTTACAGGCAGACAGTCACACACAGTCACAGGCAGACAGTCACACATACACTTTTCCTCCGTGCGGCCAGTTTATCAGCTGTTTGCTTGTGTGAGCACGGCACCCTAACTACCATGGGGCACTGTGCGGCCACAGCTCACACAGCCCCCTCCAGCCAGGGCCGGTGCAAGGATTTTTGCCGCCCTAGGCAAAAGTAAAGTTTTCCACCCCCCCATGTGACATCACAATGCCCCACCCATATGATTTGCCATGTTAACTAACGCCAGTGCTGCAGTGCCGCCGTGTTTACATTAAAAGGCCTGCAGGGACAGGCTATAGACACCAGAACCACTACATTAAGCTGAAGTGGTTCTGGGGACTGTAATGTTTCTTTAATGTGAGGTAATTAGAACTTAGTGCCACGAATAATAAACTAGATTGCCTACTTACAATCAGATGAGGATGATGATGGGCTCTAGCTGCAGTCTGGCTCCACTGGTCTGGTGTAGAACAGGCTCTCTGGAGGCGGTTTGTAACTGTGGTCACAAAAATCAATGTTCTGGGAGAACGGGAAGCAGCTCCATTTTTTGGGGGTCCTTTACACAGCTCAAGGTCTGGGTCCCAGGGTCCACCAATGAGTTTGTTCACAGGGGGTGGAGTGTGTAGGGGGTGTCCTGATACGTGTGTAATGAATGCATTGTGTGTTTCTGTGTGTGTGTGTGATGTCTGTAACGGTTGCATTGCTTGTGTATGTGTGTCTGATGCATTGTGTGTCAATCCCCCCCCCTCCTCCTCCCAATTTCTCTTTCTCCCCCCCCTCCTCCTCCCAATTTCTCTTTCTCCCCCCCCTCCTCCTCCCAATTTCTCTTTCTCCCCCC